TGTACTTTCCAGTTATCTCTGAGTTCATTATTACTGAAGGAAGCTATTCAAGAAAGAAAGCTGATTCCATGAATGTGTGTGGAAAATTACAACTTGATATTAAACGTGAGGAAACGCACACTAAAGAGAAATCGCATGATTTTAGTAAAAATGAGAAAGTTCTTGATTATAAAAAAGATCACCCTCAGAAGTTTCAAATCTTGGAGAAGTCCACTCAACACAGTGACTATATGAAAGAGGGGAGTCTTCCAACAGGAGGGAAGTACTGTGAGGACGATGAATTTAGGAAAACGTGTGGTAAAACAACTCTGTTTGAATACAGGGTATCTGACATAAGGGAGAAGTGCTATGATCTTAATGAAAGTGGAGGATCCTGCAACAAAACCACCATTGTGGAATACAATAAAGTTCACATGCCAATAATAACACATAGTGATTGTAATGAAGATGGCATTAATTTCAGTACAAAGTCACCCTTTAGTCCATCTCAAAAACCTACTATAAGACAGAGGGCTTTAGATGGTAATAAATGTGAAGAAAATGTGGGTTACACCCCAGGCCATAAAGTATGGCTTGAAAAACAAACTGATAGCAACATCTTTGAGCATAATGGATGCACAGATATCTTGTATCAGAAATTAGACTTTATAGTACAAGACAAAACACCAGAAAAACATTTCCAATGTGATCTGTATGGGAAACATGAAAAATCTTTTTCTCAAGAAGCATATCTCATTCAGCATCAGAGGACCCACTCAAGACAGAACCCTTATGAATATGAGAAATCTGGGATACCATTACACTCACAGTCATATCCTATTCACCATACCCCATCTGGAGACCAGATGGAGTTCAAACTCTATGAAGGCAGTAAATGTGGAGAATCTTTCTGTCAGAAGTCAAACATCAGTGAGCATTTGAGAATTGGCTGTGAGGAATCTTACACATCTCCTGTCATGGAACAGCAGAGAACAGACACAGAGATGAGACTTTTTCAAGATAGAGATTATGGAGAAATATTCTGTATGATGGGACATCTGAAACAACATCAAAGAGTTTACTGAGGAGAGAAACCCCATGAATGCATTGAATGTGGGAAAACTTTTGCCAAGACATCACATCTTGGAGCACATTGAAGAATTCACACAGGTGAAAAACCCTATGAATGTATTGAATGTGGGAAAACTTTTTCTCACAAGACACATTTCAGTGCACATCAGAGAATTCATACAGGGGAAAATCTTATGATTGTAATGAATGTGGAAAAGCATTTGCTGATAATTCAACCCTTAGAGCTCATCAGAGAATTCATTCTGGAGAGAAACCGTATGAATGTAACAAATGTGGAAGATCTTTTGCCCATGTTTCTTATCTCAGAGCACATCAAAGAATTCACACAGGAGAAAAGCCCTATGAGTGTAATGAATGTGGAAGATCTTTTACCTATAATTCAACTTTCAGAGCATACCAGAGAGTTCACACAGGGGAAAAACCATATGAATGTAATGACTGTGAGAGATCGTTTACTCATAATTCAACTCTCAGAGTACATCAGAGAGTTCTCACAGGAGAGAAACCATATGAATGTAATGACTGTGAGAAGACTTTTGCTCATAATTCAGCTCTCAAGGCACATCAGAAAATTCACACAGGGGAGAAACTTTATGAATGTCATGAATGTAGGAAAGCTTTTTCCCAGAAAACACATCTCATTACCCATCAGAGAATTCATACTGGGGAGAAACCCTATGAATGCAGTGAATGTGGAAAAACTTTCTCTTAGAAATCATACCTCAGTGGTCATGAACGAACTCACATGGGGAAAAGCCCTATGAATGTAACACATGTAGGAAAACTTTTGTCTATAAGACAGCTCTCATAGTACATCAAAGAATTCACACAGGGGAGAAGCCCTATGAATGTAATGAATGTGGGAAAACTTTTTCTCAACTCACCTCTGTGCACATCAGAGAACTCATACAGGGGAAAAACCATATGAATGTAATGAATGTGGGAAAACATTTGCTGATGACTCAGCCCTCGGGGCACATCACAGAATTCACACAGGGGAAAACTCTATGAGTGTAATGAGTGTGGGAAAACTTTCTCAAAGATATCACATCTTAGAGTCCATCAGAGAACATGCACAGGGGAGAAACCCTATGAATGTAACAAATGTGGGAAAACAGTCTCTGAGAGGTCCTCTGTTAGTGCACATCAAAGGGTTCACATGGGAGAAGCCCTATGAATGTAATATATGTGGGAAACCATTTTCTTATAATTCAACTCTGAGTACATCAGAGGATTCATACAGGTATTAAATCCTATGGATGTAAGGCATGTGGGAAAACTTTCTCCCAGAAATCACATCTTCCTGCACACCAGAGAATTCACACAGGAGAAAAACCCTATGGATGTAATGAATGTGGTAAAGCTTTTGCCCAAAATTCAACTCTCAGAGTGCACCAGAGAAGTCACAGGGGAGAAACCCTATGAATGTGATAACTGTGGAAAAACTTTTGTTTGAAAAGCAGCTCTCAGAGTACACTGCATAAGAATGTACACCAAAGAAAACCTTAATGTGTAGTAAGTTTGAAAAATCCTTATGGGACTCATTGCTTGTACAATAGTGAAAAGCTCATATCATGTGCACTGGTTTAACAAAATTTCTGTCTTGTTCATCCAAGTGAGACTGGCCATGGAATGTGATGTTAATGAGATACTGTATTTAAGCCAAGCCCTTAAATTTCCTCACATTCTTCCTAATCCATTTTAAGATAGAATGAAGACTACCACAGCCAATTTGAATAGTGCATTCTGAGCACAAAGTGACAGAAACAACTGAATAACTGGAATTCTTTACCTTCATTTTCCACTTTATTTTTGTGCAACAATAAGTTTGTGTTCTGTTGAACTCTTAAAGACTTGATCTCTTGGTGAAATGCATATAATCTAGACCACTATTAAGAATGGCATGAAACCTGTCATTGTTTATGTCTCTGTCCCCCAGGCCTCATGAGTTTGCATTGAGTATTTGTGATTGGTTCATTGTCTAGTGCTTGGATTGATGGTGTCAGTGCTCCACCCACATAGGGGTGGAGCCAGGATGTGAGGTAATAGCAGGAAGAAGGTGTGTCTTGCTCTTTGCCAGTTCCTGTTTGCGGCTGCCATGAACTGCGGCCCAGCCATGCCCGCCTGCCTTGGAGTCAACTGAATGTGGACTGAAACCTCCAAAAACTGTAATAAATAAACCTTTCCTTTCCCAACTTTGGGCTTCAGGTATTTTGTCCCAGTGGCGAGCATAAAGTAACTAAGACAAAACCCTATGAAGAAAATGTCAGAAGACCTATAAAAATGTGTATCAGAGACTTCAACTGAGGAAGAAAATTCAGTATCCAAATAGACCTTCTCTATAACAATAATGATTAAATGATTACTATGGCTGGAATACATGCAAGCACACAAAATTATAATGAATAATTCAACAATGTTGTTGGATACATGACTAATATAGAAAAACTGCATTATTATAAACTCATTAGTGCATTAATCCAATGATGGGATTAGAGTTCCCATGATGCAGTCACCATCCAAAAGCTCTATCCTTTGAACACATGGGCATTTTGGTGGACATTTTAGATCTAAAGCATAACACATAGTATTAATTTCATCTTTATTGTCATAGAGAAGCACAATTAACAGTACAGTCAGTTCTGGACTCAATAGATTAATTTACTTGTGTGCATAGCGCCCCCATGAGCCATGCACCTTCCAAAAGGCCCACCTATAAACACATGAGAAATTGGGAAGATGTTTTAGAACTAAAACTTAACAACTAGCAATCACTTTACCTTTTCTGCCCTACAGAAGCAGGAAATTACTAATGCCAAATCAAAAGAGAAGAAATATAGAGTCTTGTTGATTTCCAATCAGACAGAAAAATGAGCTGCTTCTTCCTGTACATGGCAGACTATGAGAGAAGGAGATGAAAGGGTAGGAGGTGAATGGTTTTGTGATTGTTCATTGCCTAGTGCTGGGATTGGTGGTGTGAGCGCTGTGTCTGCCCAGGGGCGGGTAGCTGGCATACAATGTAAGGGAAGGAAGGAAGTGTACTTTCCCCTTTTTGCCCTTTTCACTCTTGTCACTTGTGACCACCATAAGCGGTTGCCTTTCCTTCCTTAATTTTGAGTGTTGGGTGTTCTGTGTTAGCAGCAAGAGAAAAGAAACTAAGACAACACCTTACAATAGTTAAAATTACAATAGTTAAATAAGTTATCTGAATATGTGGGTGTATTATGGTAGAGAAGTGATTAAGCATTTAAATAATCCTGTCAAAGCTACTCAATCCAGGAATCAAGTAAGATGAGAGTTTGGAGAGTACACAGTGGAAAGTATGTGGTACGCATCAGCAAAGGGAAGTGATACTGCCTCTAAGCATGCTGAGGGATAACCAGTGCGATACATACAGCACACACTTTGAAGGTAAGTGTCACAAACCATCTGGGATTAAGATCAGATTAATATGTCACCTAAGGACCTAATTAGTAATGCAGCAGAGAAACCAATATAAGTCAGCTAACTCCTTACCCTCACAATATGAGGTTGTATGGGCCCTCGGTGCCCAATTACTATCTTGGGAGACATTACGTAGAAGATACGAGAGTCTGAAACATGTCATCTATTGGAAAAGAGACTTATCTTAAAGAGAGGGGAGTATACTCAGACAAACCCGAATTGAAGAACACTCTACAAAATCTGACATAAGATCATCAGACGTGGGTGGTCATAAAAATTAGCACAGATCAGTGGAGACTACAGTATCATAACAATTAGGTGCAGTATAGTATCCTGAATGGGATGATGGGATAGGAAATAGTGGGATAAAAACACGTGGAATGTGAAAATTTTTTTTACTGTAACAGTATTAGTTATGAAAAATGTACCAGTAATATGACAATAGGAAAAACTGGGTGAGGAGAATATAGGAACCATTGCTATAATTTTTAAACTTTTTTCTTTTTTTATTATTTAAAGAGAGAAAAAAAAAAGAAAGGAAATAAAACAGCAGTAAAAGAGTACAAATAATACAGAATTTCAAGGAAAAAATACAGTAAGATCACTAGTTAATAGGTTACATATTGTCATCTTTGAAATAGTTGTTCAAATTATAAAATTAAAGCATGTAAAGTGAACATTCATACAATGAGATTGCACACAATGCCGATCAATGATCCAACAACAGTTCAGTAATACAGATTTCCATCCTACACACTCAAACATACATGCAGTTATATCCCTTAGACCATCTTCCTTTCCTCTCTTTTTGATAACAATTATACTTTTTGGGTTTTTTACTCCAAATTTTTAAACTTTTAATAAAATTTTACATTTTCATTAACACTTCAGATTGTCAATTCATTTACATTTTTTCTGAAAATTGTAGAAAAGCACGTACTTTGGCCTCCATTTTTCTTTGTGTACTGAGGCATATGTTCAGGTTGTACCAAGATGTCAAGACCAAGGAGGGGCCAAAATATACCCTGAGCTGCTGGCACCTTCCTGCCAGGTATAATGACAGTCCTTGGTGTTTCAGCTTGATGATGTGACAAAACTCTTATCAAGGTGGCTCTTATTCTTGGCTCTTTTTGGCAGATGTCACAAAATTGATAACCATGTAGCTTCAAAGAAATTATTCTCCAATGACTGCTAAACAAACATATGCCATCATTTAGTTCCTCAGTATTCCTTCCTATAATATAAACAAGATACAGGGACTAGTAAAATGTTTACAAAAAAGTCATCTGACTCATGTTCACTGTCAGATTAAACTTGGAGAAAGCAACATGCCTAGGGATAAGAGAATTTTTTTGTGGTCAAGGTTTCGAAACTGATTTTACTTCCTTTATGCTGAACAAACCATTAGCTGAATATGATGCAAGTTTAACCAGTGTTATGCGATGGTGAACTTTTAGGAATGAGTGCTCAAACTGCCACCCCAAGCCCATTTACTTACCACAAAGTGCAAACATTACTCTTAAACCTGAATACTGATGTCTTAGTTTAGAAAAAACAACTACAGCAACATATTTCTCTTTAAAAAAATAACACTCAGGGGCTGGGGATTTAGCTCAGCGGCATAAGCACCTGCCTTGCAAGCAGGCAGTCGTGAGTTTGATTCCTGGTACCGATAAAAAAGAAAAAGACAAAAAAAATTTGAAAAAAAATAACACTCATGACAGTTTTGCCACCATTGCATCAAGATGAGTTATCTCTCTGGCATGCATTCTGCTCTGATCATTCTGACAGCTGCCTTTTGGACAACAGTTTTCCCACAGTTTTCACATTTTTCCACATCTGTTACATTCATAGAGTTTCTCCTCTGAGCAGGTTCAGATACAGACCTGCCTTGGACAAAATTTTCTCACATTCATTACATTGACAGGATCTCTCCAATGTGATTTCTGTGATGAACCTTGGATCTTGAGTTACCAGCATAAGCTTTCCCACATTCATTTGGTTTTCCCACGTGAATTCTCTGATAGCCTAGAGGTGAGTTGAGAAAAGTTTTCCCATATTCACCACATTCATAGGACTTCTGCTTGTGTGAATTCGCTGATGCACTACAAGAGTTTCCTACAGACAGAAGTATTCCCATGTTACATATGTACACAAAGGATTGAATTCCTTGATGTACTCAAAGGATTGAGATACAAAATATTTCCACATTTATCACATTCATAGCGTCTCTCCCCTGTGTGAACTATCTGGGGTACTATGAGAACTGAAATTTGGGACAATGCTTTCCCGCATTCATTACACTTACAGAGTTTCTCCCGTGTGACTTCTGCAATGTACACTAAATTGTGACTCCTAGGAGAGTGTTTTCCCACATTCATAGGATTTAATGGTTTTGTGAATTCTGGGGCATTGCTTGAGAGTTGAATTAAAGCAAATAGTTTTCATAGGTATTGCATTCACAGGCTTCTCTGTGTGAACACTCTAATATGCACAAATATATGAACTCTGAGAGAAAGATTTCTCACATTCACTATACTCATAGGATTTTTCCCATGTGTGGGTTCTCAAATGGGATCTAAGTGGTGATTTCTGGGAAAAGTTTTCTCACATTCATTATATACACCGAGTTTTCCCCCTCTGTGAATTCTGTGATGTCCCTGCGGGTTGAGTTATCAGCAAGTTTTCCCACATTCATTCACTTTCTCCTCTGTTAATTATCTGATGTGTGCAAAGGTGTGTTTTTTGAGAATACATTTTCCCATATATATTACATTCATAGGGTTTCTCTTTTGGGGGAATTCTTTGATGTAGAATGAGAGCTGTTTTACAGACATAAGTGTTCCCACACGTTACATTTATATGACATTTTCCCTGTGTGAATTCTTTGGGTGTATCCAGAGGGCTTACTTGTATAAGAATTCCTATATTTATCACAAGAATACAACTTTTCCCCTGTGTGGATTCTCTGATGTACTGTGAGAACTGAAATTTGGGGAAAAGTTTTCCCACACTCATTATATTTACAGGGTTTCTCCCCAGTGTGAAATTCTCTTGTGTGTACTAAGGAGTGGTTTCTATGAGAAAAATTTCCCACATTCATTACATTCATAGGATACCTTTGTGGATTCTGTGGTGTCATCTGAGGGCTGAAAGCAATGGTTCCCCACATACATTACATTCATAGGACTTCTCCCATGTGAACTGATGTGTGCTAATGTATGACCTCTGAGAAAAAATTTTCTTTTCTTTTTTTTTTTTTTGTTTTTGTCTTTTTCCTTTTTATCAGTACCGGGGATCGAACTCACGACTGCCTGCTTTCAAGGCAGGCGCTTATGCCGCTGAGCTAAATCCCCAGCCCCGAGAAAATTTTCTTATTACCTTTATATTTAATGGGTGCAGATTCATATGTAATGGATGAAAATTTTCAGAAGTGCTCTAAGAGTGATTGGTGGGAGAAAGGTTCCCCACATTCGTTATATACAGGGGGCTTCTTCCCTATGCAAATTTGGTGATGTGACCCGAGGGCTGAGTTACCAGTAAAATTTTTCCACATTCATCACATTCATAGGGTTTCTCCACTGTGTGAACTCTCCTATATGCTCTGAAGGCTGAGTTACATGTAAAAAATATTCTACATTTGTAACATACATAGGGTTTTGTCCCCTGTGAATTCGCTGTGTTTTCAGAACACAAATATAGGCAAAAGATACCACATATTCATTACACTTGTAGAGCTCTTCTCCTATGTGAATTCTTCATGTGTTCTAAGGATCAGGAAATATTTTTCCATTCATGACATCCATAGGGGTTCAGCTGTGCCTGGGTTCTCTGATGTGCACTGAGATGTATCTTGTGAGAGTTTGCCCACGTTCAGTATATTCACATGGGTTTTCACCTGTGTGAGTTCTCTGACGTGCTCTGAGATATGCTATCTTGGCAAAATTTTCCTATATTCTATACATTCATGAGATTTCTCCACTTTGTGAACTTTGATGTTTTCTGAAATGTCCCATCATGGAGAATGTTTGCCAGTAATCACTAAACTGAAAGAATGTTATCTCTGTGTTTGTTCACTGGAGTTCTGTGAGAGGGGATTCCTTGCAACCAATTCTCAAATGCTCACCAAGGTTTGACTTCTAACAGAAAGGCTGCTCACACTGGTTGCATTCAAAAAGGTTGAACACAATCTGGCCTTCAGTGTACTGAACAAAGCATGACTGTAAATGGAGTAATTTACCAGATTCTTCATATTTATAAGGGCTCTCAGTCAGTCCTTTGATGCTGAATGAGATATGTTGTCTGGAAATGGATTTCTTACATTTGCCATAAAAATCAGATTGGTTGACTTTCTCCTGAGTTCTGTGATGTACTGTAAGATCTAATTTCTGGTAGAACATATCTGTACATTGATTATATTCATAGATATTATTACCAGATTTTTTTCAGTGTGAGTTTAATATCAAGTTGCAATTTATCACACATATTCATGGAATCTGCCTTCTTTCTTGAACAGATTTCTTCACTAATAATGAACTCAGAAACAACTGGAAAATCCATGTCACATGAATCACATTTCCAGGGTATTTTTTCTGAAAATCTGAAGCTATACTAAGATTAAAAGGTTTCCCTAAAACCTTCTGCACTTCTGTCAGTGTTTTATCTTCTGTTAATAATGCTTGCCCTAGAAGCTTCTCTTGTTTTTCCTGGTTACCTTGGATGTGGACATCTAATGTGTAATATGCTAAAATGAGAAAATATATTTCATAAATCTTGCACTTGCAATGGAAAAGCACTGATTCCTATGTTTTGTTATTTAATTTTATTATTTCTGTTCTGTTTCCAAAGGTTCAAAAACTCATGCACACAGTCAGATATTGCCTTGCCCATTCATCAGGAATATGGTTTTAAAAAGCCAGGTATTATTTTCAGTGCCAACGAAAGAAGTAGCCCCTTTCCTTCCAGTCTTCCCTGTCACGATTCAAAATCCACAGAAGAAGCAGATTCTTATAAATTCTTACAAAATGAAAGAGTGGACCACAGGACTTAAGAAATGGCACAGTGGACAATTCCCAGGCTTAACTCTCTACTTCCGTATGTTTGGTACGCTGTGCTAAAGAAGCCAATAATCTGGAGCTGGTAACAGGTCCAGGAAAGAAATTTTCAAGGAAAGCCCATTCTTTCTAGCCAGAGGACTAAGAAAAAGTGGTCTATCAGATTAGACAACTTTCCTGACAAAATTTAACACACTCAAGCCCCAAAAAGCTGCAATTTTCTCTCTGTGCTTCCATAGACCCTGCACAGGGAGCTGAGAAAGACTCAGAACATTTGCACACTCTCATAATATATAGGGAGTTCACCGGAAAGATGACGAATCTTAAGAAACTTTCATACCTGGGATATGCAAGCCACTATCAAAATCCCACCGAGGAACACACTCTTATTGGATGCATGGAACAAATGTCTTAATCTGCAAGAAAGAGAACAAACATGTTTTAGGCACTGCTGGCAATTCAAAAGAGCTACGGGGAGAAAACAGCAACAACAAAAAACCCAAGAGCTAGGAATACACGATAGACCCAGTCCTGCATGTAGGCACATGGCAGTATGGGGACCAGGTCCTCCGCATGACTGCTAGCCACCAGCCTCCCGCCTCAGTCACCCAGGCAACCAGAGGAGCCGTCTCTGTCCGTGGGAGGCGATAGGGTAGCGCAGGGCGCACGGAGTCCAGCCAAGGCGCTCTGAACCGCACCGCGGCTCTTCCTACAAGTTCCCGCTTCCCAAAGGCAGCCACCTTCCCCGGCCTGGGCGGGCGCATGCGCGCGCGGGGCCGGGAGGCGGGGCGGGGCCGAATATGCACATGCGCACTGTGGCCGCAGGGAGCCTTCCCACAATGCTGCGCGGCCTGAAGGTCTGAGTTACTGGCTCCCCGAGGCACTGTCTCCTGAGAAGTCAAATTTTTATCCCTCAGGATTTAGCAGGTGGGAGAAATGAAAGGATAGGCATGTGACAATATACCAAGGCTACAGGATTTCTGTCTTGTTAGAAAATAAAAAGCTGTGCTCAGATTTTACAGTTAGAGAAACACAAATCTGACCAAACATTAGAAAAATTAAGAAAATTTACTGATACTGTTTATAAGGGTCATATAAGTATCTAGACAATGTAGAAAAGTTTTATTTTGAACGGATATATGCGAAATGCCAGGCTCGTGGGGCACCCTTGTAATTCCAGAATCCGCGAGGCTGAGCAGCATTGCAGTGTTGGCCGAATCTGGGCTGCCTAATGATTTAACGACCGTCTCCAAATATAGTATTTAAAAAGAGGTGGGAATGTAGCTCAGCAGGAAAGCCCAGCATTCAGGCTTTAATCCTGTAAACCAGGCAAGGAAGCAACCAACCAACAAAACCCCAGAAAAGATATATAATTGTAATTTAAGGTAGGAGTTTGAAATAATTCAAGAAAACAGGGCAAATATGACATTTAACATTGTCAAATGTGTGTAAGATATGCATCTGATCCTCATTTTACTATTTTCTACTATATTGTGTCATACATACGCACAGGAACGGTTACACAGTAACGGCCTTTGAGGTAATTCAGGGGAAAGCAAAGCAGAGAAACTATCATCTCTCCAGAAATGCACCGTTAGATCCAGAGCTGCCAAGACAAGTGAAGGTACATACAGTGTCTCTTTATGAATGAAGTTAAGATACAGAAAAAATACTAGAAAGCAAAAATGTAACATCTGTGATCACCTGGGTTTATCTGATGATCACCTAAGGGGGAGAAGATTGGTGTTTAAAATTAGACATGTAGCTATGCCTGCGAACCAAAATAAGAAAATGATTACTGTTTCAGCCTTGCATTTTCAAGAGGAAATGGTACTTGAAATTTAACATGTACAGTCACCTGACTTTGTAACAAAATAGATGCGTGCACAAGTTGTTTTAAAATAGACATTGTTGGGCTGGGGATTTCGCTCAGCGGCATAAGCACCTGCCTGACAAGTCTAAGGGTGTGAGTTCGATCCCCAGTACCAAAAAAAAAAAAAAAAAAAAAAAAAAGACATTGTTAAGAATAGTTACTGAAAAGTTTGACTAGAAAGCAGAAAATATCCCCCAGAACCTTCTCTCATCACCAAATACAGGTTCTTCTGTTAACATATTGTAGAATGAGGTATATGTTGTACAGTTTTCAGTTCATAGCTTCCGTATCATTCACTCTGTTGTGCCATGCTATGGGGTTTATCAGATCCAAAACCCATAAAAGTGTAATTTCCTATACTTAGTGAGGTAATGATATTCACCATAACTGTATTACACAATTGTCCTGTGCTCTACCTATTCACCCTCTTCTTAACTCCTGACAAACACTTTGCTTTTAACCATTTTTTTCCAGACTGTCATGTCATTAGACAGTTGGACCCATGCAATATGTATCCTAAGACTGGTTTTGTGAATTCAATCTCTTTCCATTGTTTTTAGGACTTGATAGCTCACTTTAAAGAAAATCTTAGAAATTCTAGCTTAGGAATATACCACAGTCTATCCACTCATCTACAGAACTACATCTTTACTGCTCTCGAATGTTTGCAATTATGTGTAAACTGCTATAAATGTGTACACAGGATTTAACTTTCACTCTGTTTTGAAATAAATTGGGGCAATATCAAGGCATACAAGGGCTGGATTTTACAGAGAAGTGATATTTAATTTTATTTAGGAGTTATTGTTGAGCTGTCCTCCAAAGTGACAGTAGTTTGCATTCCATCAAACAATGAGCATGTATCCTATGACCAGTGCTTAGTACTTTCATTGCTTCACATTTTGGTCCTTTCAGTATGAAATTTTCATAATTTGAAATCTCATATTAACACATGATTCTAGTTTTTTCATGTTCTTATTTTACCATAACGTTTTGTTGGCAAGGTTTGTATTCAGTTTTTTCATCCATTTTTATTGAATCATTTTTGTATTGTTGAATTTGAAGTGTTCTTCATTTTTTAAAAATTTTATTTAAAGAAAACAATAAAAGGGTACAAGTGATACAGAATTTAAAAGATAAACAGTAAGAAATCACTAGTTAATAGATTACATATTGTCATCTTAGAAATTGTTGTTCAAGTTACAAAATTAAAGCATATAAAGTGGACATTCAAACAGTGAGACTGCAAACAGTTGTGTTCAATAATCCAACAAAAACCTAGTAATATGGTCATCTATCTTACACACTTAAACACACTTGCAGTTGTATCCTTTAGAGCACTTTCTTTTCCTCTCTTTTTTACAATAACATTTACACATTTTGGGTTACTCCCACAGTTCTTAATACTTTTTTTTTAGAAGAGAATAAAACCAAATGTGACAAAACAAAGCAGTCAGTCAAAACAAAGGATGGACATAGTACATGATGTAAAAACAGAATACAAGGTAATCAACAATGGTTACCATAATGCCTCTTGCTACCTTAAAAAGAATTGCTTTTATCATGAGGTATAATAAAATTATACAGTACAAAACAGTATAGAACAAAACCAATAAAACCTAAGCATTGGAGACATTGCAGGACTTCAAAAGAAGATAGTAGTTAAACCAGAATGGGAATCATAGTGAATCATATTGCCTTCAAGGTAGTTGCCTATACCCTCAAACTCGATACTATCAAACAGAACAGAATGACCATGATCAAGTGGGATTCATCCCAGGCATGCAGAGATGGTTCAATATATGCAAATAAATAAATGTAATCCACCATATCAATAAAGCCAAAAGTAAGAATCACATGATCATTTCTATAGATGCAGAAAAAGCTTTTGATAAGGTCCAATATTCATTTATGGTAAGAACTTTACAGAAAATTAAAATAGACGGTCTTTACCTCAATATAATAAAGGCCATCTACAACAAACCAAGAGCCAGTATCATACTAAATGGCCAATGTCTTAGTTACTTTTTACTTGTTGCTGAGACAAAATACCTGAAGCCCAAGTTGGGAAAGGAAAGATTTATTTCTTACAATTTTTGGAGGTTTCAGTCCACACTCAGTTGGCTCCAAGGCAGGTGGGCATGGCTGGGCCACAGTTCATGGCAGCTGCAAACAGCAAGCAGGAACCAGCAAAGAGAGACACACCTCTTTCCTGCCATTGCCTTACATCCTAGCTCCACCCTATGTGGGTGTAGCACTGACACCATCAATCCAAGCACTAGACAGTGAACCATCACAAATGCACAATGCAAACTCATGAGGCCTGGGGGCCACAGAGATAAACCATGACAGCCAAAAACTGAAAGCCTTTACTTTAAAATCAGGCACAAGACAAGGATGTGCCTTATCACCGCTCCTATTTAATATAAGTACTGGAAATACTAGCCAGAGCAATTAGACAAGAGAGAGACATAAAAAGGGTAAAGACAGGAAAAGAAGTTAAATTATCATTGTTTGCAGATGACATGATACTCTACATAGAAGACCCAAAACTCCATTGAAAGACTCTTAGATATAATAAATAAATTCAGTAATGTAGCTGGATCAAAAATCAATACTCAAAAATCAATAGCATTCCTATACACTAATAACAAAATCACTGAGAGAAATAAAAGAAGCCACATTCTTCACACTAGCAACCAAAAAAATTTCTCTCACGAAAGAAGTGAAAGACCTATACAGGGAAAATTATAATACACTGAAAAAAGAAATTGAAGAGGATCTCAGAAAATGGAAAGACATCCCTTGCTCATGGATAGGAAGAATAAATATTGTGAAAATGGCCATTCTCCCAAAACTGTTATACAGATTCAATGCAATCCCAATAAAAATACCATCAACATACCTCATAGATCTTGAGAAATCACTCCTAAAATTCATCTCGAGAGAGAAGAGACCTAGAATAGCAAAGACAGTTCTAAGCAACAAAGGCAAGGCAGAAGGCATCACAATCCCTGACTTGAAGTTATACTACAAAGCAACCGTAGTAAAATCAACATGGTACTGGAATCAAAACAGAACCAAAGATAAATGGAATAGATTAGAAGATACAACCACAACTACAAACACACTCAACCACCTTATCTTTGATAAAGGGGCCAAAAAGGTTCATTGGAAGAATGACAGTCTCTTTAATAAATATTGTTGGAAAAACTGGCTCTCCATATGCCGAAAACTAAAACTAGACCCATGCCTATCACCATGTACTAAATTAAAATCTAAATGGATCAAAGATCTGAATATGAAAACAGAAACACTAAATCTATTGGAAGACAAATTGGGTAAAAACCTTGAAGACATAGGGGTAAGAAGAGAATTCATGAACAGGACTCAAACCGCACGGGAAATACTTCCCAGAATCAATAACTGGAATCACCTCTTACTAAAAAATTTCTGCATGTTGAAAGAAATATCCAACATAGTGAAAAGAAAACCCAAAAACTGGGAAAAAATCTTAGTGACCTGTGCCTCAGACAAAGGACTTCTGTCTAAAACATGTAAAGAATTAAAAAAAATCAAACCCCCAAAATTCAAAGTGTTCTTCATTTTGAAATAAAATCTCTCAACTATATTTTTTAAGTGTTCTCTCTCTGCAGCTTGTCTTTTCAGTCTCTTGATGATCATGCACAGACAGATTTTTAGTCGCATGTAGTCAAACTGGTCAGTTTATTCTTTTGTGGTTGTGTTGGTGGGATTATCAAAGTGCCTGGCTTTGATACCCTACCCTCCTCCTTTCCCTCTCTCACTCTCTTCCCTAGCTCTTTTTCCTTCCTTTTTTGTAGTATTGGGGTCTGTTATGGATTAAAAATTGGTGGTCAACTTAACACTAGC